CCAACACCGGTCTGGACCGCAACTCCAGTCCGCTCCCCCGACTCCGGTTCAGGATCCCGACTCCGGCTGGGATCCCAACCCCGTCCCCGTCTCGGATCCTGGTCCCCTGCCTTGGAACCCCTCCCAAACTCCGGCCTATCTTCGGATCAGCCCCCAGAACCTGATCCCCAGCTCACTTTGTCGCCTGATCAGGATCCTGCGCCGACCCTGAGGGTGAAGCCCATCCCATCGTTCACCAATGGCTTCGATCCCACCCAAGAGCCCTTTCCTGCCCTTACTCCATTGGCCACCGATTTCCTGGGGTCCACCCTCGAGTCCAGCCCGAGGGCAGACCCATCGGCCACCAAGTTGATAGATTCCACTTCTGGACATAGCCTGGCGACGCCCATCCTTGGGACCATCCCGTTGGCCGTCACCTTACCGTTTTCTGCCAACGCATTCGCCTCCACCAGCGAGAACATCCAAGTGGACAACAAGATCATGATTCGCGTGGTCTACTGGTCAGGGGCTGTCCCCACCCACAGCGGCTTCCTCCCCCGGGGCAAGGGCTGGAGGGGGTAGGCGCCACCTGCCGTTCTCTTTGGAACTAGCGATCTTTGGGTTCACTCGTTCACTCTCCTGTGAACAGAGCCACCTGCTTTCCTCCCCTGTAGAGCAGAGGGCCCTGAGGGAGGACAAGGGGTGGGAGAACTTCAGAGGCTGGGTGTTCAGGGACAGTCTTTCTCAGGAGGTGGCGCTTAGGTTGCTACTTCTCAGTGAGGAGCCACTAAGAAGAGTGGAGAAGGGGGTACGAGTAGGGAGATCAGGTCGCCCCTGTGATGGGGGTGGGAGCGTGGGGGATGGATGGTGGAGGGAGGGGGGAAAAGGGGAGATGAACAGCCAGTGCAAAGGCCGAAGGAAGCTGGCTTTGGTCTGCATTCCTGGTCCCAGAGCTGAATCTTTGTGTCCCCACAACAGTAACAGCAGTGACCTTCCTTTGCTCTTACTGAGACCCAGGGCTGGATGTGGCCGGGCGAGGGGCATTGTCTTCTCCCTAATCCCTGTGCCTCTCTCCTGCTCTAGAAGGTCCTTCTGTCCTGTTTTCTGTCTCTCCAACTCACAGCCATTTTCCCTTTCCCTATGTGGTGTGTCTCTTTCCCCATCTCCCCACCCCACCCCCTTTCTCTGCCCATTTCCTCCTTCCAAAAATTTTTTAAAAACTTTTTCCCTTCCAGTTTATTGAGATACAATTGACATACAGCACTGTATATTTGAGGGGGATAATTAGGTTTATTTGTTTTAATGGAGGAACTGGAGATTGAACCAATGACCTCATGCATGCTAAGCATGCGCTCTACCACTGAGCTACACCCTCCTCCCCATCTTCTCCTTTCTATCTCTCTGACTCTATGGATTCATTCATTGTTTTGTTTCTTCAACAACCATTTATTAAGTAAATCCCTGCTTATTCACTGCTGTGTCTCTGATGCTGGCCTTGTTCTCAGTATCAGAGACATAGCAGTGAATAAGACAGATCCCTGTGGCATGGACATTCTGGTGTGGAGGGGCAGGGATGGACAATAAATATGACACATGGCAAATTATTTAGGATCTTAGAAGGTAATCAGTGCTATGGATCAAAGGCATCTTGGGAGGGGTGTCACAGTTTTAGCTGGGGTAGTCAGGAAGTCTTCACTGAGGAGGTGATCTATGAGCAAAGACTTGAAAGAGGGGAGAGGTGGAGCCTTGTGGATACCAAGGAAAGAGCATTCTGCATAGGGAATGGCCAGTGCAAAGGCCCTGGGGCAAAGCATGCCTGGAACATTAGGAAGAAGAGCTATGAAGTCCCTATGGCTGGACTAGAGTGGGCCGGGGTAGGGGGACAGTGCGAGGAGATGGAGCAGAGAGGTGGTAGGGCCAGATCCTGTGGGGGCTTGTGGACCACAGGGAGGACTTTTTTTGCTGAGTGAGGTGGTGTCTTGGGAGGCTTTTGAGCAGGGGAGGGATGGGATTTGACTTAGGTGTTCACAGTGTCCCTCTGGTTGGGGAGTTACTGAAGCAGTGTCTTCCCTCCATCTCTCTCTGCCTCCCTCCTCTTGCCCTTGACATCCAGTGGCCTCTGAAGCTATGGCCTTAGGGTGAGTAGTTTTAACTTTGGAGGTGGGGGAGTGTGAACCATGAGGTCTGGAAGGAGTTCCTATTTCCCTTCCCTCAAGACCTGTGACCCCATGACCCTTTGGTCCTCTGATCCTGTGACCACACGGTCCCATCTCCTCCCCACAGTATATCCTACTGAAAAAGAGCCTGGAGCAGCAATTTCCAAATTGTCTACTCTTTGTGAGTGCACTGGTGGCCCAGGGGAATGGGTTGGGTATTCAGGCTGCAAGACCCCCAAAGGGGCTTTGAGGGGAGCTCTTAGCTTCTGCCAACACCTAATATTCCCTCCCCAGGAGGAGGACGTATCTGCCCAGGCTACAGGGGAGTTTGAAGTGTTTGTGGACGGGAAACTGGTCCATTCAAAGAAGGTGATTCTGAGCAAGGGTCCTGGACAAGGAGGGAGGGTGGTGTTCCAGGTGGTGGGAGACAGACACATTTGTACTCTTTCCCCTCCGTGCCCAGAAAGGTGATGGCTTTGTGGATGAGACCAAGCTGCGGAAAATTGTGAGCCTTATCAATGAGGAGATCAAGAAAAGGTAGCAGGCAACTGGTGAGCCGGAGGTGAGGTGGGAGGGGTGGAGACCGGGCTGTGGGTGGGTGGGTGGACAGGAGGCAGGGCCCTGTGTTGGAGTCAAAGACACCCTAGCCCCAGTCCTAGTGCAGCCAGTCCTCAGTGTTACAGTCAGGACAAATCATCTACATCCTTTTATGAACCTTGGTTTCCTCATCTATAAAATGGGGTTATTGAGATGATTTCATAAGATGCCTCTTATAAGGTAATAAATAGTGCATGGCTCAGAGTAGGGCGCAGTGTACTACAGTGATATATTTTTTCCAAAAAAGCTTTTGTCTTTTTTTTAGCTTTTAGTTGTGTGTGTGTTTTGTTTTGTTTTGTTTGGTTTGGTTGTAAAGCTGTAATGGTATGTGACTTTTCAACTTATAATTAAGTCGATTAAAATTAAGCACATTAAAAATTCCATTATTAGTCGCACTGGCCACATTTCAAGTGCTCACGGCCAGATGTGGCTGGCTGCCGTATTGGACAGTGCAGATGTAAAACATGGAAGCTGTCATTGCAGAAAGTTCTATTGCTAACATTGTTTTAAGATATTAAAGCATAGACACAATAATTTATTTGCCACCAATACTGGATTTTTTAATATATTTTTAATTTAATTATAATTTTTAATGAAGGTACTGGGGATTGAACCCAGGACCTTGTGAGTGCCAAACACTTGCTCTACCAATGAGCTAAATGCATCCCCCAATCCTGGATTTTTTTTTCTTTGAGATGGGAAGGGAGGTAATTAAATTTACTCATTTATTTACTTTTTTTTAGAGGAGGTACTGGGGATTGAACCCAGGACCTTGTGCATGCTAAGCATGCACTCTACCACTTTGAGGTATACCCTCTCCCCTTCCCAATACTGGACTTTTAAAACCACTTAGTACATAGGTATTTGTAGCTGCTACTAATTTAATACTTTGTCTGTTGCATATCTACCTTACAGTTGTTTTCAACTTTATTGAGGTGTAAATGATGTGTAAGAAACAGTACATGTTTAAAGCATGTAAGTTGATGAGCTTTGACATACCAATACACCCATGAAACCAGCGCAAAACCAAGATGATGAACATATCTGTCACCCCCCAAAGTTTCCTCAGCAATTTCTGTAATTTCTCCCACCCTCTCTCCTGTCCCAGGCCACCACTAACTTGCTCTCTGTCAGCATAGATTCGTTTGCAATTTCTAGAATTTTATGTAAGTGGAGGCTGTAATTTTTTCAAACCTTTATGGTGGAAATTTTTAGACATAAATACTAGTTGGGAGACTCGTACGATAAACTCCATGTACGCATCACCCAGGTCAACTAGTATAGCTTTCTCTTCTCTCATTTCATCTTCTCTCCTGCCTCCTTTTTTTTTGGCTCTGTCCTGTTTTAAAGTATATTCCAGACCTCATGTTTTTCACCTGTATGCATCTCTAATAAATAAGTTTTTAAAACAGAAATACAAGGCCATTTTTTACACCCAACAAAAATTTTAAAATGTCTTAATACAATCTAATACCCATCCTAGGGTCTCAAAAAGATCTTTTTACAGTTAGTTTGTGGAGTCAGGACACAGACAAGGTTCATATGTTATATTAGCTGTTTTTAAAGAATTATAAAGAGGATTTTTGGAATCCTTAGTATGTGCCAGGCTTTTAGTAGGTCTCTTTTAAGCAGCCAAGCTGGGGGTGAGGGGCAAGGGAGGCGGAGGAGAGATCTGTTTCTCACACTTGCAATATACAGAATATGATCGTAGTTATCTACGTAGCCTCCAGGGTCACAGAGACTTAGATTCAAATCCTGGATCCATCAGGCCCACAAAGCTGAAGTGGGGTGAGGTAGATTTGTGAGGTAGGAACCCTTTAGTGAGTGACAGCTGTTGTTATTGGAATCAGTCAGGATGTTTCTAATTGCAGCAGAAAACTGTTCCAAATGGCTTAAGAAATAAAAAATTGGCTCATGGGAATAAGTCTAGGGGCTAATTTAGTTAGCTGCAGGCATGGCTGGGTCCAAGCGCCAAAAGGTTGCCATTGGGAATCTGACTCTCCTTTACTCTGGGTTCTGCATTTTTCCATGGGCTAACTTTACTCTCAGGCAGGCTTCCTCTCTCGGTGCCATAAATCCTGCCAAAGATTCCCACTGGCATAGCTTAAGTCACATGTCCATCCCTGAGCCAATCACTGAGACCCAAGGGAATGCAGTGCTCTCTTTGGCCCATCGTGGGTCGTGTGTCTTTACCTCATTGGGTTTCATTGTATTTAGCAAGTATTTGCTGAGTACCTACTCTGTGCTGGACACTGTTCTAGATCCTGGGGATGATGATACAGCAGTTAACTAAACAGATACAAACCCCTGCCCTAGTGGAGCTGACGTTCTAGCCGGGGAGACAGACAATGAACAAGACATATAGGCAAATAGAAAACATTTAGGAGGAGATAAATGGTGGGAAGAAAAATGAATCAGGGAAGGGGCACGGTTGCTGCTGGGAGTTTTCTGCAACTCTAAGTTGAGTGGTCAGGGAAGACCTCATTAGGAAGGTGATATTTAAACCCTTGAAGAATGTGCAAAGGCCCTGTGGTAGGAGTGTGTCTGGTGTGTTTGAAAATGGTGGAGAGACTCTACTGGGCATTGTAATCCATGGAAAGCATTAGAATGGTTCCTGACACATAGTAAGCCCTATAGATGCTATTTTTTTTTTTGGAGTTGTTGTTGTCATTGTCATTGTTATTAAACTTTTTTTTCTTTCCTCTCTTCCCATCTCAGGAGCCTCAGCAGGATGGCGAGAAGGGCTGAAATGTTGCCAAGTCAGGTCCTTTTCTGATGGTGGCTGGGGCTGGGGTGGGGTCAGGGAGGGGTGAAGAGGGAAATACATAGAGTTGGCCTCCCTGTGCTTTGGTCTGACTGTGTTTGCTGTCACCACATTCACTCCTGACATCTGAGGAAGTCACCTGCTACCTGCTACTGGGTTCCCAGCATCTCCTATGTCCTGGACCTGGGTGGTGGGGAGAGGAGGCCAGCTTTGAACATGAGGCTAGTCCTCCTGCTCCTGAGCTTTGCTCCTGATGGTCTAGCCTCAACTCCTCATGCTGTTGAGGTCAGCATCTTTCTTTTGTGGCTTTTTTATTTCCCCTGCCCGGGTTCAAAATATGTTTTGAAAACTTCCCATCTCATTGGCATTTTTAGAGGTTGAAAGAGAAATAGGGATTGTGGCAAGACATCCCAGACTTCACTTCACAGGTCTTAGAATCTCAGTGTTGGAGGGGGACTTGATGACCTGGGAGAGGGACATTGTTGCATTCGGTGGGTATTGATGAACCCTCTACCCTGCACCTGGCTCCGGGGGGTCACTGGGCATGTGCCAGGAGGTCCAGGCAAGGCATGGGAATCAGAACTTTACCACGGAGTCACTCTGTGACCTCCAACAAGGGCTGCCACCTCTCTGAATCTCAATTTCCTCCTCTGTCAAATGATGGTTGTAATTCTCCTTAATCATAAAATTTCCAAAGTCTGGCACAGAATATGTAAGTTTCGGTCAGACGTAGATTTCAATCAGGAGTGCTCTTGCCGGCAAGTAACAGCAAACTGGACTGCCAGTGGCTCACACCATAGGAAAAACAAATTGTTTTGCTTGTGAACTGGTCGGAGGGGGCTGGAGTCAGCCAGCTGTCCAACTATGCCGTCAGGGACCCATGGTTTTTCTCTGTTTCTTCTCTGCCATCATTAAGGTATGACAGTGGGCTGGCTCTGGGGCTCATGCATGTTGTTTCATTGTAGCACCTTTACCCATTAAGTCTGTATTCCAGGCGGAAGAGGGTTGAAGAAGGTAAGGACACGCCTGCTGGACCACTATCTTTTTTAGGAAAGCAAAACTTGGTGGGGCAGTGGTATAGCTCAGTGGTAAAAAGCATGCTTAGCATGTAGGAGGTCCTGGGTTCAATCCCCAGTACCTCTTTAAAAGAAAAAAAAAGCAAAACTTTCCCAGAAGTCCCACCCAGTCTTCTGCTGTGACTCTGAGATAGTGCCCTGGCCCCTTCCCACCCACCCGCCTCACCTCCCTCACCTCACCTGCAGCTCACCAGTTGCCTGCTGCCTTTCTCTGCTCTCACTGATAATGCTCACAATTTTCTGCAGCCTGGCCTCACCCAAAGCCATCTTGATTATAATTCAATATGGATTGAATAGGGATAGGAAGCAACAGTTGGGGGCACTGTCAAAGTCCAAAGTCTAACATATACTAGCATTGGGAGGATGTGAGTGAGTGAGAACAATGAGTGAGTTAAAGGATTAGACTGTAGGTTTCTTATTATGTCATAAGGTAAATGTGATAAATCATAATAAGGTAATCAATACTTCTAAGGTTTTTATGGTAGGCGGACTTCTAAGGTGACCTTCAATGACCTGCACCTTCATATAATCTCCATCTTGTGAGTGTGGGTGGGACATGTGACTATAATGGGGTATCATTCACATGACTGTGTCACATCATATGACAAAAAGAATTTTGCGTTGAGTTTGAGGCTATCAGATGGGAGATTATCTTGGGTGGGCGCGACCTAATCAGACGAGCTCTTCCAAGAGACAAGAAGCATCAGAAGAAATTCTCCCGCTTACTTTGAAGAAGTTGTGGATTGTTGTGAGAAGGCCACTTGGCTAGGTCTTGAGGACAACCTCTAAGAGCTGAGAGTGACCTCCGGCTGGCAGGCAGCAAGAAAATGGAGATCTCAGTCCTACAACTACAGGGAACTGAATTCTGCCCACAATAGGAATAAGCAGGGAAACCACAAGTGAGGATATACTCCTGGCCACCCATGTGATTTCAGCCTAGTGAGACCCTGAGCAGACATCCAGCTAACCCAAGTCTGGATTCCTGACCATGGAATTTATGAAAATTAATAATTATTAAATTTAATAAACAATAAAATATTTAATACTTATTAAATATTTATTAAGTGCTTAATAATATTTAATACATTTATGTTGTTTCAAGCTACCGAATTTGTTTTGCCACAATGGAACACTAGCACAATTTTGACCAAAGGTTTTTGCTATGCATTCGATCATATCAGTCACCATAATAACAATAATAATAATAAAAGGTGACACTTGGAGGGCTTACAGTGTGCCATTTCAACATTCCATTTGGGATCATTCAGAGTTTCAACGTTTTGGTCTCAAAATCTTTTTATTTACACAAATTGAGGAACAAAGCACTTCTGTTTATGTGAGCTGTACCTACTGATATTTACTGTATTGAACATTGAGACCGTAAAAATATACGAATTGATTGTAAAATAAGCTCTACTTTTTCAAGGAGAAAAATCCTTTCCAGAAGGCTTAGCCGATGTGTGCTCTTAAATCTGATTGGTTCGCCTCGGATCACATGCCAATCCCAGGCCAGTCAGTCCCTTGCAAATAGGAATGGGATTGCCAAATTTAGAGCAGCAATTCTCAAATTATTTGGTCTCAGGATTGCCTTACACTTGCAAAAGTTATTGATCACCCAACTGCTTGATCCCCAGTTTTTAAAAAATCTTCCCATTTTTTTGAGGGGGGGTTTAAGTTTATTTATTATTTTTGATGGCAGTACTGGGGATTGAACCCAGGAGCTCATGCATGCTAAGCACACACTCTACCCTTGAGCTATGCCTTCTCCCCTCCAGTTTTTGTTTCTGCGGATTCATGTATGGTTATTCACATCTTAGGAATTAGAACTGAGAAATTCTACAAACTATTTAAAACAATAAGCCCATTACATGTTAACATAAATAATATTTTTAATGAAAACATAACCATTTTCCAAAACAAAAAATAGTGAGAAAAGTGGCATGGCCTCACAGTTTTGTAGATTTCTGTAACATCTGGCTTTGGAGAAGATACATGACACTGTAAATCAACTATGATGATGATAATAAAAAAGAAAGTGTGAGATAAAATAGTCCTGAGTTGGGCAATGGCAATACCTGTTTTCAGATGATTTGTTCTTTTGACCCCCATGGTTTTAAGTTTTTTTGAATTCATTTTCAAAAATGGAAAATAAAGCACTTTCACACAAAATCTCCATTCCCAGCTTTTCTTGAAGCTGTAGTGGTGCTGGACTTGTATTTCCACATGGCACAAATGGCCAAAGTTGAGAAGAAGCTGATGCCTTTGGAGTCACAATCTGCAAGTCCCCACCACTCCCTGTTGTCCCACACTCACTTCCACTTTGGTCCTGTAGAAATTTGAGTTAGTGACCTCCGATTATAAGGGTCATTTCTGGGTGCCTGACCCATCTCCCTCTTAGGATTGGGGCCCCTGCCTATCTCCCTCCTCTGTATACTCAATACCTCAGGCCCTATAATCATGGCTTTGAGGACTTTGTAATTTCTCTGAAGGGTTTTGACTGGGAAGAGACTGAAAACTAGAGCCACTTATTCAGGGGTTATGAATTCATTAAATGATAGGCAGGAGGAGGGGAGCCAGGACATGTGGGGACCCAAAGAGGCCTGGGTTTCCAGAGAAGCTTATGGAAACAGAGGCCTCCAATTGTTTTAATTGAAGCATAGTTGATTTACAATGTTGTATTAGTTTCTGGTGGGTGGCATAGTGATTCCACGGGCACTTAGGTTGTTTCCATATTTTGACTATTGTAAATAATGCTGCAATGAACATAGGGGTGCATATTATCTTTTAAAGGTAATATTGTCAAAGTCTTTGGGTAAACACCCAGAAGTCAGGTAGTTGGGGTCATGTGGTAGTTCCATTCTTAATTTTTCCATAGTGGGTGCACCAATATATACTCCCACCAATGGTGTATGAGGGTTCCCTTTTCTCCACATCCTCACCAACACTTGTTACTGTCTTTTTGATAGTAGCCATTCTGACAGATATGAGGTGGTATTTCATTGTGAGAATTGCTTCTTGTGTCTGCCCCCTGGTGGTTGAGGCTGGTCTAGGGGCCTGTCTAGAGGCGCCTGTCCTGTGGTTGGTGGAGATGGGTCTTGGCTTGCTAGTGGGCTGGGCCGTGTCTAGGGGTGTCTAGAGGCGGCTCGGGGCCCTCCAGTCCCCAGGCAGCCCATAATTGCCTGGCCTGAGGCTTCCCAGCACCGGAGCCCACAGATCGCTGGGCGGGGCCAGGTCCTGGGGCCAAAGAGCCAACATGGGAGCCTCAGAGTGTCTTCCTCCAGTGTCCACGTGCCCAGGGCAAGCTGCAGCCCCCTCCCACCTTTCCAGGAGACTCTCCAAGATCAGCAGGTAGGTCTGGCCCAGGATCTCAAGCCACTGTGTTTGTCCTGGGTCCTGTGTACCTGAGACCCCGTGTGAGCCCTTTAAGAGTGAAATCTCTACCTCCCCAGTCCTGTGGGGCCTCCCTGCAATCAACCCCCACTGGCCTTCAGAGCCAAATGCTCTGGAGGCCCATATTCTCAGTGCTGGACCCCCAGGCTGAGGAGCCCGACTGGGGACCCAGAACTCTCACTCCTGTCTGAGAACCTCTGTAATACAAGTTCTCCAGGTTGTGGGTATGGGCTTTGATTAATTGCAAGCCTGTCCCTCCCACTCATCCCACGTGGTTCCCTCCCTATGTCTTTAGTTGTGGAAGGTCCCCTCTGGTAGGCACCAGCTCCTTTTCATTGATGGCTGTTGTGCAGACAGCCGTGATCCTGGTACACTCATGAGAGGAGGTGAGCCTAGGGACCCTCTGCTCCACCATCTTGGCCACTCTCCAATTATTTCTTTAAATACATTCTCCACCCCCTTCTCTCGTCTCCTTTTGGGATACCCACTACCATAATGTTGCCCTTCCTAAAAGAGTCAGGTAGCTCTCGTAGAGTTTCTTCACTTAAAAACTAGTATTTCTCTTTCTTCTACTTGCATCACAGATTTCTACGAGCTCACTAATTCTCTTTTCCATACGGCCTGCTCTATTTCCAATGCTTTCTAATGCATTCTTCATCCCGTTTATTGAGTTCTTCAGCTCCAGCATTTCTGTTTAGCTCTTTTTCAGAGTTTCCATCTCTTTGGTAACGTATTTCTTCTCTTCATTTTATTCCTGAGCTCGCTGAACTACCTTTCTGAGTTTTCTCATAGCTCCTTTGAGTTTCTTCACAGAGCTATTTTGAAATCCCTATCAGTAAGTTATCAATATTCCGATATAAGTTTGGTTTCTGGAGAATTGTCTTATTTTTTTTCATGTTACAATGTTACCGTGGTTCTTCATGGTGCTCGAGGGGTGTTTCTTTGCTGATGCGTCTGAAGTAGGGGGCACCTTTCCGCTTGATTCTAATGATTTAACAGGTTAGAAATTGAAGCGTTTCTTCTGTTTTCCAGTAGGTGGTGCTATAGCACAGGTTTGGGTTTCTTAATTGCGCTGCCTCTGGTTATATTTCAGCCTGCATTTTCCACGCTGCACTGCTTTTGTCAGAGGTGTTGCTCCAAGCCCTCCCTATTGCTTCTTGTGCCTCGGGGGTCATTGGTGTTTTGCTTCTGCCAATGTTGCTGGTGTTGCCGCCTAGGGCACCGAGATGGTGGGCGCTTCCCTTACATCCGGGATCTCCCGGGTAGGAGACTCAGCCACTGAGGGGAGGGGGCGGGGGAGCCCGTGTTGCATGGGCGTCACTGCGGTGTCCAGTGTTGTAAGGTCTGCCGGCTCCACCGCTGCGGATGGGTGGCCAGGGGCCGGAGTTGTGAATGCCTCTGCAGCTGGAGGGGCCGGATCCCAGGCGCCACTGCTGCTGCTGCCGCCGCCGCCCAGTGAACCGAGGTCGTGGGCACCGCTGCTGCTGGGAGGCCAGAGTCGTGCGTGCCACCATCCCTGCTGCTGCCGCCGCTGGTGGTGGTTCTCAGGGGCTGCGGGCTCAGCGGCCATGGCAGGAGGGCTGGGGTTGCTGGAACCACCTCCCTGTCCCTTCAGTTCCGTCTCCTCTACATGTCCCAGTACACCTGCCTCCAGATGTACAGATGTGTGGAATACTCTGGACGCCTGGTGTGTTGGGCAGAGGCACCTTTGTTGTGTTGTGGATGTTTTACTGGTTGTAGACTGAAGAAGAAAGAGGAGGAGAGATTTTCATCTGCCATGTTGCTGAGCTCATGCCTCTGAAAGTTATTTTTCATAAAGTTATGTTAACATTTAATGGCTTTTTAAAATATTACAAAGTAAGTCAATACATATTTAAAAAAAACTGAGGGGACAGGGTATACCTCAGTGGTAGAGTGCATGCTAAGCATGCATGAGGTCCTGGGCTCAATACCCCGAACCGCCATTAAAATAAATAAATAAGTAAATAAACAAACCTAATTACCTCCCCCCAAAACAAAAACAGAGCAAAAAAAGAAATTAAAACTAACAAAACTCTCAGTCTTGGGGGAGGGTATAGTTCAGTGGTAGAGTGTATGCTTAGCATGCACAAGGTCCTGACCCCCCGGTACCTCTATAAAAAACCAAAAACTCTCAGTCTTAATTTCTTTTTTGGGGGGAAGGGTGGGGGAGGTAATTAGGTTTATTTATTTATTTTTATTTAATGGAGGTACTAGGGGATTGAACCCAGGACCTCATGCAAGCTAACCATGTGCTCTACCACCTGAGCTATACCCTCCCCACCCTAGTCTTAATTTCTAATCTAGTAAATACTGACAAACAATCCACACAAACAAGAGCTCTTCTAGGCTTTTCCCACCCAGGTGACAGACATGTGAGTGAACCATCCTCGGTATTGCAGCCCAACTGAGCTTCTGGCCAACATCAGGTGGAGCAGAACTGCTGCGCTGAGCAGGGTCAACTTGCAGAATAGTGAGCCAGGATAAAATGGTTGTTGCTTAAAGCCATTAAATTTTAGGGTGGTTTGTTACACAGCAATAGATAACTGGAACATCAGTGTTTGGAGATGGAGACTTACTTCCCTCAGAATTCATAGAAAGGACAGGATTAGTTTGGAAGAACCATCAGATTATACAATAGATAATCTGATTGGCCTTTGCCCCTGATTCTTAGAAGCTAACCTGTAAATCTTTGGAATTTCCAGGGGGTGTCTTTGTTACTCATGGTGGGCCCGCTGGGCAACACTTAAAGAGTTTTAGAGAGTTTGAGCCTCATGATTTCAGTCTGACTTCAGGGCACAGTGGCGAGATTCCCTGGTTGGTTATGTTCTTCATGCTTTCATATATCGTACCGGTGGATGACGCATCCCTAAGGATGACAGCGATGTCGTATTTGGGTCCTCCCAGACCTAAGTCTGGGGAGTTGGTGTCAGAAACCCTGATACATGCTGACACGCAGCTTAAATTGTTCAAGGAAGAGAAAATGCTCATTAAAATCCTTTGAGGAGGGGGAGGGCAGAGACCAATGGTAGAGAGCATGCTTAGCATGCACAAGGTCCGGGGTTCAATCCCTAGTATCTCCATTAGATATAAACAAACAAACAAACCTAATTACCCTTCCCCCTAAAATTAAAAAAATGCTTTAAGAAGTATTTACAATAGTCAGGACGTGGAAACAACCTAAATGTCCATTGACAGATTACGGGATAAAGATGTGGTGTATGTATATGTATATGTGTGTGTGTGTGCGCGCACACACACACACACAACAAAATGTAATACTACTCAGCCAATAAAAAGGAATAAAATGATGCCATCTGCTGCAACATGGATGGACCTTGAGATCATCATTCTTAGTGAAGTTAAGACCAAAAAGAGAAAGAAAAATACCATATGTTT